CTGCGAGTCCCCGAGTGCGCGCTCGCCTCACCGTTCCAGCAGGTCCAGTCGTAGCTGCCGGCCATGGGGGAGGGTGAGCAGCTCCATGCCCCAGCGCACTCCCATCAGGGTCTGCATCTCCTTGGTAACGCCCAGTATCCTAGCAACCTGCAGAGACACCCAGAGGGCTGACTGATTTCCTGCCAGGGCTGGCCTGAGCCGTCTGCGAGTCAAGAGAACTTTACTCAAAGGGGTTGCCTGGCTGAGAGGCCGGGTTTGAATCCCAGCTCCACCGCTAACCCTCTGACACGGAGCAAGTGATTCTGCCTTTCTGAGTGAGCCTCAGTTCCCGCGTCTGGGACATGGGGGATACATGGGAAAATGCCCAGAGGTACCTGGAATATTCAATCTTCAGTTAAGAGCAAGGACTAGGACACCTGTATTCCAGAGGGAAAGCCTGAAGCCCAAGGAGGGAATGGGCTTGCCCAAGGTCACACACTAGTCAAGAACCCGGGTTCCTCCCTCCCGCCCAGCACTCTACACGGAGCAACATCTCTGCTTTGTCTCTCTTCTTGCTTCCTGAGCTCTGAGAGCAGTGCAACCCTGTAATCAATCCCTCCCAAACTGTAAAGGAAGAGAGACACGGGGAGAACCGAGCTCTTCGACGGTCAAAGACTCAAAGCAAAGGCCCAGGTGTTGACAAGGTAGGGGTCAATGAAGCGGTTTATTGCCTGTTTGTCCACCAGGGGGCGTGGGGGCGGACAGTCGGGCCTCTCCCAGCCCCTGGACCAGCCGGCAGACTTGCACCAGGCTCACTCGGGAGGTGTCCCCAAGGGTCTCCCATTTCCAGTGCCAAACTGACATCTGGAGGAAGCAAGGAATCCTAGTTTCTGCTTGCTTTTTTTGAGTCGGGGTCTCACCCTGTCGCCTAGGCTGGAGAGCAGTGGCACAATGTGGGCTCACCACAACCTCCAGCTCCTGGGCTCAGGTGGTCCTTCCACCTCAGCCTCTCATGGGACTGCAGGTGCACATCACTGGCTTACTAAAATACATTTTTTTTTTTTTGTAGAGATGAGGTCTTACTGTGTTGCCCAGGCTAGTCTCGAACTCCTGGGTTCAAGCAATCCTCCCACCTTGGCCTCCCAAGGTGCTGGGATTACAGGCATGCACTACCATGCCCGGCTTGATTTTTTAAAAGGAGAAAATGGAGGCCCAGAGAGACAAAACGACCAGCCCAGAGTCACAGAGCAGATAAAGGACAGCCATGGAGCCAGAATCCAGGCCCACTCGCTCTCCCTGGGGAGTTTGGGAACCAGCCTCTCACTCTCACCACCCTGACCCCTGTCCCAAAGCCAGAGAACAGATGTGCTGCCCTACCACCTTGCACACCCAGCACCTACCAGGCAGTCCACCTTGGTGACATGCCGGGCCAGCGTCCGGGCATCCACCTCGGTCAGCAGCTCCTTGACCTTGCGCAGAAGGCCTACCTCCAGCGGCCGGTTATCCTTGGGGATCAGCAGTGACTGGAAGGTGGCTGGGTTGAAGGACGAGGTGGCCTCCACGACGGGGACCGTGAAGGCCTGGCCCCCGTCTCCCTCGGGAGCCCCATTTTCTGACAGTTCCTTGAGCTTCTCCGCACAGCTCTTGGTCTGCCTGCTGGAAGCCTCAGCCGCCGCCCACTCTCGACTGCCGTGGACGGGAGGCTGCAGCTGGCAGTAATGGCCAGAGTCTGGGTCGCTGTAGCTGCTGAGTGATGGTGACGGGGAGGCCTTGCAGAGGGTGTGGGAGGGGCTGGCATGGGGGACTTTGTCCGACTCCCCAGGGGGCTTCGGGGCACTTCCAGAACACAGCTGGGGCTCGCTGGAATGACAGGCACCAGGGGAGGCAGGCAGTGCTGTGGCAGAGGGAGCTGCGGGGGCGGCGTGGACACGAGTCACTGCAGAGAGGCAGAGAGAGAGAGGTCTAGTTCCTGCAGTTCCCACCAGGGCAAGGCTCCCTCCCAGCCTGGGCAACACAGCGAGACCCCTTCTCTACACAGTATCAAAAAATAAGCCAGGTGTGGAAGCACATGCCTGTAGTCCCTGCTATTCCAGAGGCTGAGGCGGAAGGATCGCCTGAGCCCAGGAGGTTGAGGCTACGGTGAGCCACGATCGTGCCACTACACTCCAGCCTGGGCAACAGAGTGAGTGAAACTGTCTCTTTTTGTTTGTTTGTTTGTCTGGTTTTGTTTTGTTTTGTTTTGTTTTGAGCTGGAGTATCACTCTGTCACACAGGCTGGAGTGCAGTGGCATGCTCACAGCTACCACAGTCTTGACCTGCTGGGCTCAGGTGATCCTTCCATCTCAGCCTTCCAAATAGCCAGAAATACACCACCATGCCTGGCTAATTTTTAAAATTTTATTGTAGTGACAAGATCTCACCAAGTTGCCCAGGTTGGTCTCGAACCCTGGGCTCAGGCCGTCCTCTCGCCTCAGCTTCCCAAAGTGCTGGGATTGCAGATGTGAGCCACCACACCCTGCCTGACTCTGTCTCTTAAAAAAAAAAATCAGAAGTGATATTTATTGAGCTCTTACTCAATGCAAGTTCCTTTTTTGCACATTAGTCCATTACCCTGTCAGCATCCTGGGAAGCGAGTGATTTTATGGTCCTCATGAGGAAACTGAAGTTTATAGAGGTAAACTGACTCACCCAGGGTCGCCCAGCCAGCAGGTAGGACAGCTGGGATTTACATCTTGACTTCTGGGCTGCTTTACTATCACACACTGCTTAGAAATTGTCCAGTAAATCATTTCTGGCAAGGAATTTTCACTTTTATGCTCAGAGGTATTGCTCTGAAGGCAAGTCTGTAGTTACGACAGAGTTGGCAGCTCTGTGCTTAGGGAAGGGTTTGTGACCTCTCAGGGACTGCCACCCCCATGGCACTTTGCCTGCTCTGCATACAGTACAGCCTGCTGAAATACTGTTTTTTTCCCCTAGAAATGAGCTAGTGGCATATTTCTACCATAGAAACTTTCTTTATCTTTAAAAGAAAGCACAGTGCTCTCTGCTTTCCACTCAGTTTTGCTGTGAACCTAAAACTGCTCTAAGAAATAAAGCCTATCAATAAAAAAAAAAAAAAAAAAAAAGCCAGGTGTGGTGGCTCATGCCTGTAATCCCACACTTTGGGAGGCTGAGGCAGGAGGATCACTTGACCCCAGGAGTTCGAGATCAATCTGGGCAACATAGTGAGACTCTGTCTCTATAAAAAAATGAAAAACATTGACCAGGCACAGTGGCTCAGACTATAATCCCAGCACTTTGGGAGGCTGAGGCAAGAGGATTGCCTGAGCCCAGGGGTTCAAGCCAGCCTGGGCAACTTGGTGAGACCTCATCTCTGCTATAAATCACAAAAACTAGCCGGGCATGGTGGTGCACACCGGTGGTTCCAACTACTTGGAAAGCTGAGGGGGAAGGATCGCCTGAGCCCAGGAGGGTGAGGCTGCAGTGGCCGTGAGCATGCCATGGCACTCCAGCCTAGGCGACAAGGGTGAGACTCTGACTCAAAAAAAGAAAAAATTAGCTGGGAATGCTGGTGTATGCCTCTGGTCCCAGCTATTTGGGAGGCTGAGGCAGGAGGATGGCTTGAGCCTAGGAGGTGGAGGTTATGGTGAGCTGTAAACCATGCCACTAAACTCCAGCCTGGGTGACAGAGTAAGACACCAATTCAAAAAAAAGAAAGAAAGAAAAACGAAAAGGAACAAAGCAGAATGGCCTGACTTGAGCTGGCCACTAGGAAGCAGGGATGCCTTAAGTCACATGAATCCCTGCCAAGGCAGGACACTGCGGAGCAGCCAGGAGAGGGGGCAGCTGGCCGGAGGGTGGGGTGCTGTGTGACTGCCCGTGGGCACTTCCCCAGCCCTGAGTCCCGCCCCCCCACCTCCTCGACTCCAGAAGACACCCTGGGACCTGCTTCTTGCACAACGCCTGGCACCCTATGGGGGCTCGCGAGGCTGGTGTGAACAGACAGGCCGCGGAGCTATCCTTCGTGTCGACACCCGTGGTTCCACCAGCAGGGTCTCATGTCAATTCTGGCAGACGTTACTCGCAGAAAAGAGGCAGAAGGCTGGGTGCGGTGGCTCACGCCTACAATCCAACACTCCGAGAGGCCAAGGTAGGAGGATCCTTGAGCCCAGGGTCCAAGACCAGTCTGAGCAACACAGCAAGATCCCATCTCGACAAAATATATTTTTTTAATTGGCTGGGCACGATGGTGCTGCACGTCTGTCATCCCAGCTACTCAGGAAGCTGAGGCAGAAGACAGCTTGAGCCAGGAGATCGAGGCTGCCGTAGCCGTGACTGTGTCACTGCACTCCAGCCTGGGCGACCGAGTGAGACCCCAACTCAAAAAAAAGGCAGAAACACACACCACCACACGAGGGCCACAGAAATTCCCGCCCCTCCTGCCCCACACCTCCAGGGCCATACCAGTGCTGTAGGCAGGGGAGCTGGGGCTCTCGGAGATGGGCGACACGGGCGAGTGCAGCTCTGGGATCTGGTCCATGCTGAGAGCGCAGCTGCGGATGGCGTCCCGGGGGCGGGGCAGGGACGTGCTGCGGAGTAGGGAGCCTGGCGTCAGGGGCCTCCGCCTGCCTGAGGCCCCGGCTCGGCCCCTGGAGCTCCAGAGGCAGGAGAGGCCTGGAGTCTATCGAGTCTAGCCTCCCAACCGACAGGTGCAAAAACTGAGGCCCAGGGGAGGACGCGGGCCGAGGGCTCACAGCCCGTCAGGAGCAGAGACGGGCACCTGGACTGCAGCGCCCAGCCAGCTGGGGTCTGCCTCTGCCCACCTGGCTTCCAGCCACACCCCACACGTCATCCTGCCCTCTCTCCATCCCTACCTGCATTCCCCTCCCACACTGCCTCGTTCAGCCCAAGAGGATAAGGCTTCTCAGGCTCCTGTGTCTCCTGTCCCCAGGGGAGGACGGGAAGCAGGTACTGGCCAGAACTCCACTAGCCCACAAGGTACCTTTGTGCAAGTTAGTCAATTGCATCCGTTCTCTGGGCAGACATGATGTATCCTCTGCTCAGAGAAGCCGAGGGCAGGACGGATTTTAGTTTACCACTCCACTGCACCAGAAGCCCTTGTGCAGTCCACAATCTGTGCAACAGTTCCCTTCCCTGGAGCCTTTCTCCCATCTTGGAGTATTATCGGGGAGAGGGGCGAGCAGGAAGGGTGGGGAGCCTCAGGAAGCTAGGCCCACCATCCTGACCCCTCCTCACTGCTCCCAGACGATGCTCAGGCGCCTCTGGCACCCATTGTCCTTGGATCCTAGCCCATGATGTTTACGGTCCAAGTGGCTGCTACCCTCAGGGTCTCCATCCATCAATTCCTTGGCTGGAAGCACCCAACCCAGGCCCAGGGGGTTACGGCGATGGGGACCTAGCCAAATGCAGGGGGCACATGCCAGCAGGTGTCTTTGCCAATAGCCGGGGAAGCCACAGGAATAAGGAGACCAGACACTGGAGTCCACGGGCTGGAATCTTGAACTTACCACTCCAGCATGCAGCTCCCCTGAAGCCTCTTTCCCCACCTTTGCGTGTGGCGTCTGGGTGGGACCCACCCCCCAGGGCAAGTGGGAGTCTCTGAGCTTGGGCGCCAGCCTGCCGGGCGGGAGGCCAGGCAGGGCAGGACCTTGAGACCCACTGGCTGCTGTTTCTGAGGTCCAGGGACTGGCCTTGGCCCCAGAGGCACCCAGGTGTCCTCAAAGCGTCTCGAGAACACTGTGTCCCCTGTGCAGTGGTTCCCACCTGCAAAGCCCTCTGCTCCAGGCCTGCCCTGGCCTGGAAGGGCGGGGGAGGGGGTGGCGTTGGGCGGCCGTGACCAGGCCGTCTCTGGTTCGGGACAGGCCCGGGCGCCCCGCAGCCGGAGAGGGCTCCTGAGCGAGGGCCTTTGGAGGCAGGGACGTGGAGACGAGAGAGGAGGCGCGACAGGGTCAAGGGCACGCAGCCAGCAAGTGCAGAGCTGGCCCTGCAGCCCGGGGCTGCCTCCCCGGGCCCCGCCC